TCGGGAATTAGGGATTGAAATACCTTAATCAAAGAGATGATTCGAAGAAATTTGAGAAGAAAGTGTTAGATTCGTAGACGAATTTCTTGACTCGCATTGAATCTTAGCTTACGATCTCTCACCAGTCTCCATTCTCTTCCCGATTTTGTAATTTTCTCCTCATTTTCATTTTAACTCGATGCGTGGCAGTTTCGTTAATATTAACAATAATGCTGCCGTTGCCTTGCTGGCATAATCGTGAGATTTGATTGGTTACGATTTCTACTGCCAACACACTGCATGACATGGGATTAAACGACGTCGGATTTCAGTTTTTTACCAAATGCAGTAAAACAAGTAACGTAACGGTTAAAACTTCTAAAGCGACGTCGTTCTAAACTGGAACTGTTCCTTGTGTTCTAAGCTACATTGCATAGAATTGAAATCGGGTACGCGGAAACGGAAGCTTATAAAAGCACGGAAGCGACTTGTAATAAATAATTAGGAAACAGGTACGTGTTGGAAACGTGTATATACGTGTATGTATATATATTTCTAGTTAATATAACTCAACACAAATTTCAAAATAATATGATTTAAAATCGAAATCACCATCTTCATTATCAAAATTTTTAAATCCATCATCAAACTCTAATCTTCCACAATAATTTCATTCAATTAATCAAATTAATCACTTCTAACATCACACGTATTAACATAACACTATTTCTAAGCAAGATAATTTATAGATAAAAAATGAAATTAGTTTGTATAAATGTCAAAATATTAAATTAGTTTTTGGTTTTATTTTGTATTTATAGACATATCAAAAATAATTGTGGCAATTACAAAAATGCCACTTTTTGTGTGCATATTTGCAAGAATGCCACTTAGGGGTGCCCATTTGCAAAAATATCACTAATTATAGATTTATAAAACCTATATCTTAAAATTTTAAATCCTAAAAAATGTTTTGATCCCTAAAACCCTCTAAACCTTCATAACTAAACCCTAATAGAACATAATTAACCCAAACATAAATGATATAAAGAAAAAAWAAWWWTGAAAAAYTGGCATTTTTGTAAAGATTTCAAAAYTGTGGCATTTTTGTAAAGTGGTACTTGAAAAGTGGCATTTTTTGAAATTTCTCAAAATAATTTTATCTTTTCTATTTATTTACAATACAATATTTTAAAAACGGAAGCGCAACGTATTTTTAGAAAAAAATTTTCAGAAGCAATCTGGAAGCGAGATTCTGAGAGATTCCGATTCTGAAATGGAAAGCGGACTTACGAACGAAGATTTCGCGCTACCTAGGTTTTAAGAAATGGCATAATGAGAATCGGTGTTTTTTGTCGAAAGATGAGAATAGGTTTCATGGATTTTTACACAACTAAATAAAACGGTATTACAAATTTTTTGTTCTTTTTTGGTAGAAGTATTGCAAATTTAATACTTTAATAGCAAATTTAAACATTTTTGATAAAGGTATTACAAATTTAATGGCATCAATTAGAAGAACAAAGAAAAATGTCTGTATCAATTAGAAACACTCATGTGAAGCTGAACAAGAGAAGCATAAACTCCACCTTCGATATTGATCAACGTCTCGTGCGTTCCTTTCTCAGCGATCACACCGTTTTTGACGACGGCGATGACGTCAGCGTTCTTGATCGTCGAAAGCCTATGAGCCACCACGACGGTGGTCCGGTTCACCATCACTCGATCAAGCGCCTCTTGAACCACCCTTTCCGCCTCTGCATCCAACGCGCTAGTCGCTTCGTCGAGCAACAAAATTTTTGGTTCTTTCACGATGGCACGTGCGATCGCCACGCGCTGCTTTTGTCCCCCCGACAACTGTATCCCTCTCTCTCCCACCACCGTATCGTAACCCTAGAAAAAATTAAGAAAGTGTTTTTGTTTTTACTTGCGCGGAAAGTAATCTCTCTGTTTTACTCAATAGGTCTAAAACAGAGACTCTGTTTTATTTACCTGTTGTATGCTAGAGATGAACATATGGGCATTGGCGAGCTCAGAGGCAGCTACAATATCTGCCTCTGTCGCTTCGTTTCCGCCTTTTCCGTAAGCAATGTTAGCTCGTATCGTGTCATTAAACAGCACAGGCTCTTGCCCTACAAGCCCCATTTGTTGTCTCAACCATTTTAGTTGTAGCTTCTTGAGCTCTACTCCATCTAGAGTTATATGACCAGAATCCGGATCGTAAAACCTCTGTAACAGTGAGATCACCGTAGATTTACCTGATCCACTTTCTCCGACCAAAGCAACCGTCTGAAATAAGTACAATAACTTATTAAAGGAGTGATGAACATGTAAACCGAAATTCGAATAACGAAATGATAGACTGGTAGTAGTAGTTACCTTTCCGGCGCGAATGGTGAAACAAAGGTCACGAAAGATGTGAATGTCAGGTCTACTTTGGTAAGTGAAGCTTACGTGACAAAGTTCGATATCTCCTTTTACATTATCCAACACCATACCCGATTCATCTCTCGAGTCTATCTTCGATTTCCGATCTATAATCCCGAAGATCGAAGCAGCAGCACCTTTAGCTTTACTCGAATCAGGAGCGAAAGAGCTTGCTTGAGATATCCCAATTGTTGTCATAGTTAACGCTAAGAAAACCTGCAAAACAAAATCCCAATCCAATTTAAAGATTCCATTAACTCTCTTCTCCTCAAGATTCCATTACAAAGATTTCCAAGAAACACAAAAACCTGAAAAACATCATTGAAGTTTGTCTTTCCGTCTTTAACCAATCGAGCACCCGCGTAGAAACAAGTAGCATAGACAAAGTAAAGAATGAAAAAGGAGAGACCAAACCCTAATCCGCTGATTAATCCTTGCTTAATCCCGGATTTAATCGTATCTTCGCATCGCTTTTTATACATTTCAATCACTTTCTCCTCCGCGCAGAAAGACGCAACCGTTCTTATACTCCCAACCGCATCGCTCGCCACCTGACTCGCCTCCTCGTACTTTGCCTGCAAACATTTTCTTTCAACGTCGTGTTTATGTTTCTTTGGCAACAAGTAACAAACCCTAAAATAATAAAAGACTAACCTTTGCGTCTGCACTGAAGCCTTTAATGAACTTAATTTGAAGATAACCATTGATTCCAATTAAAGGAATCATTACTAAGATAATAAGTGCCAATTTCCAGCTCGCTGCGAAAGCTATGATTAGTCCCGAGACCGCGGACGCAGCGTTCTTAACCGACAGAGACAACGAGTCGCCTACAATAGTCCTAATCAAAGCTGCATCAGCTGAGAGCCTCGCTCCCATCGCACCACTTGAGTTCTCTGGCTCATCGAACCACCCAACCTCCATGTGAACAACTTTCTCAAAGCACATTACTCTTATTCTCCCAATTAGTCTCCCTCCAGCTATAGCAAACAAGTAGGTATGCGTTGGATTCACTATCAAAGAAGCTACACCAAGAAGCACGTATATGATCGACCAGAATCTTGAATCTCTCTTTAGTTCATGAGGCGGTTTGAAGAAAGCTTCGATTGATTTAGCAAAGAGGACACCGAAAATCGGGAATATTGTGCCGTTCACTGCACCTACTAAGGTTCCAAGTATAAGAATTGGTATCTCCGGTTTGTTTAGAGCAGCGATTCGAGTAATGGACACATTATGGGACTGCTCTTTAGGTATTTCAGTAGTTTCTTGACCTGCAAGTAAATCAAGAACGGTAACAGAGTCTTCATCATAAACTCTCCTTAATGATAATCTACTGATGATGCTTCTTCTTGATGATCCACTGCTGATTGATCCATCACGCAATCCATTTGAACTATCCGTTCGCTTCGATTCCTTGTTTATCTCTTGTAAACGTATAAGCTGCGAATAAGCCCCTTCATGATCCTTGAGTAACTCCGAATGTGAACCTATTAGACAAGTAAAAGAGAAAAAAAATTCGCAGATGGAATCAAACCCTAACCAATATATGAATCAAGAAGGCAAAATATCAATGAACCTTCTTCGACTATCTTTCCTCGGTGAATCACAGCAATCATATCAGCATTTCTCACCGTGCTTAACCGATGCGCGACAATCACAGTAGTCCGGTTAACCATTACCCTGTCTAAAGCCTCTTGAACCGTTCTTTCGGATTTCGCATCAAGAGCGCTTGTTGCTTCATCTAACAGCAAGATACGAGGATCTTTAAGTATCGCCCTCGCGATTGCAATCCTCTGTTTCTGTCCTCCTGAAAGCTGAGTTCCATGTTCCCCTACCATTGTCTCTAAACCTCGAGGTAACTTATCGATGAATTTAGCCGCATTTGCTAGCTTCGCAGCTGATTTTATCTCTTCTTCCGTTGCGCTTTCGTTCCCATACCCTATATTCTCCATTATACTCGAAGAAAACAGAACCGGTTCTTGGCTAACCAATCCAATCTTTCCTCTAATCCATTTCAATTGAAACTCCTTCAAGTTAACACCATCAATAAGTACTTGTCCGGAACTCGGATCATAAAACCTTTCAATCAAACTGATCACCGTAGATTTTCCGCTTCCACTTTCTCCTACCAAAGCAACGGTTGCGCCACTCGGAATCAAAAGAGAGAATCCGCCAAAAACCTCTTCTTTAGGCCTTGCAGGGTAACTAAAACACACATCTCTCAGCTCGATTTCGCCTCGAATACCTTCTAAAACCTTCCCATTTAGGTCTAAAGCATCGATCGCGGGCTTTCTTTCGATCATTTCAAACATCTTATAAGCTGCAGCTTTACCAGCTGCAAATGCAGTTAGACAAGGTGTTGTTTGCCCCAAAGACCTATACAAAGAAAAAAAAACAGAGTCCCCTTTTTAACCGTTTTAACTGTATTGAGACTAGAGAAAAAAAATCTGTTTTACTCACATCGAACTCGCGACCACAATGACCATTACATTGATCACTGCACCACCTGTATACCCCTTTTTTAGTATCATTTCTCCACCAAACCATATAGCCAAAGCATAGCTGCAAAAGAACACCACCAACACTACTCCAAAACCTAAACCCGTAGAGAAACCTTGCATAACACTCGATTTATACGCCGAATTTATCAACTCTCTGTAGCTACTCAACGCTTGCTTCTCTCCCGTGAAAGAAGCAACCTGAAGAAAACACGCAAAAATTTGGTTAAAGTTTAAAACTTTTGATGAATATCAACCCTAAAATATCGAAAAGAAAGTATTTTTTACGGTTCGAATTGACCCGAAAGTTTGTTCAACAACAGTTGATGCTTTTGCATAAGCAGCTTGTTCTTGAGAAGCAGCTTTAGTAACTATAATCGGCATAGCTGCACCAGCTAGAGCTAGAAGAGGAATTGATGTTAACATAACAAGTGTAAGTAACCATCCTTTCACAAATGCTAAAACATATCCACCCAAGAATGTTGCAATCAACTGTATAAACTTCCCAACCTACGAAAAAACTTCGAACCTTTAGAAATTTCGTTATATTACAAAAGCTTCTTCTTTTCTTTTTTTTCGCGGTTTTCGTTTGCTTTACCTTCTCACCCATAGCATCTAGTATAAGAATAGTATCACCAGACATTCGACCAATAACTTCTCCTGTGTTTGTTTCGATATCGAAGAATCCAATATCTTGTCTTAGAATTGTTTTCAGATATAAACTCCTTATTCTTGCAGCTTGTCTTTCTCCGGTAATCATCCAACAAGCCACCTCTAAAACCGAAGAAAAAACTGAAAAACAACGCCTAAAACGATATTAATTTTGAACGGAGGGAGTATTACTTACGAAGAAAAGCTGCTACTAGTGTCCCAAGTCCAAGGTAGATAAATTTCAAACAATCCTAAACAAGAAAAAAAACAAAAACAAAACATAATCAAGAAAGCATTATAAAAAAAAAATCAAAAGATTAGTTCTTTTTTGGTTTATCTAACCTTAGAGACTATCTCAACAATGTCTTTGTTGTTGTGGTTTTGCCCCATCGAATCAATGATATTACCAAACAATAATGTCATTACCGGAAAACCAAGACCGTTTCCAATAGCTCCGATCGAACCAACGATCATCAACATTACGTCGGAAGAATCTGAGAAGGAAAACAGTTTGTAGAATGGTACCGTCTTTGTCTTCCCTTCCATTTTCCCTGTCTTTTGAAACAGAGTTTGGAAAAGCCAACTTTGAAAGATCATAATAACATTTAAATTCTATCGTTTACTATCTAGTGTTTTATTAATACAAAAATCATGTAGGAATATAAGAAATACTATCTTAAAGATTCTTATGAATTTGATATATACAAAAAAAATTCCTATGGATTCTTTTATATATACAAAAAAATATGGAATAAATAAAACATCTTGCTTTTCCGGGATGGGACAATCAAATGCTGTAAGAGCATCGAATGGCCGGAATTGGAATCAAATGCTGTAATTAATGAGAAAAGTTTTGACAAAAAAATAAAATAAATAAACATCTTGCTTGTGTCATTACTCTAGTCACTCGAATATGACTATTTGTAGTACACTTTGATTTTTGAATCAGCTTGAACAACAAAGATGTTGGTATTACGTGAAATAAACAAAAATTAGGAGAAGAGAGCTTGGGATGTTTTTTTTTTCTTTTCATATTAAAAGTTTCATGTAATGTTCTTTTTTTTTATTTGTTCATGTAATATTTCATAAAATCATTATGTGTAATGACTAAGACTAATGACCCTATAATATTTAAGTAGTTTATATTATTTGAAGAATAAAAACTACTTGATACAAAATATGTCAATATCAATAATTTTTTGTGTCATGTGATCTACTAAGTTCTGCATTTCCTCAACTCGGTCGTGTATTCCATTATTCCTTTAGTCGTGTGAATTCGTGTTAATGGTGTATCTAAGCCTTAAACATGCATAATTTATGGGCCTTAAACATGCCTAATTAGTCGATAAAATTAGGCCTAATACGCACGTGTAAAACCAAACCTTGCTTGATTTCTCATCCAATACTTCCACCGTAAACCCCTTTAAACAATACGTCATTTTCTGATAGCAAATTTCTCCAAACATAATTTGGCTAAGTTTCTTCATAATTGATTGTTTAGATTTTTAGTTCCATAAACCAACTGTTAAAAGAAAAAGAAAATAAACCCAATTAGTAACCCAAAGCATTTTTAGATGTTCGATCGGTTAAAATTTATACACTTACCACTTACCAATCGGACACATAACAAAAGAGTGTTCTTGCTAATGAGGTTTAATTAAAGCTAAAAATCATCGTATTCTTATTACGCATGTGGTTAACAATCTGATAATTTTGTTTCATACATGGCATGTGGGGCCCATTCTAGAAAAGCCTATAAGTTTAATATTACTACTCGTCCAAACACCAATCACACTTCTTCTTCTTCTTTCTTTTGGATTTTTCCGTTTTGCTCAAAGAGAGAAACATACACAATCTCAAATCTCACCCAAAAAAAAGTCAGATTTTTTCTGGGTTTTTTCTTACGAGTTTGAGATTTCGAAAAATGGAGAGTCATCATCAACCTTTAATCAGTCCTCAATCACGTTTCCGACTTGAACCCATACCGGAAAACCCAAACTTATCTTCCTCCTCTTCCTCCTCCGTCACAATCCCTCACTCAATCTCAACAACCTCCTTCTTCCACGAAATCGTCAACCACCACGACCTCGAAGAATCCGTACACCATCACGAACAAGACGAAGAAGACCCAGATTTCTACTTCAAAAACCCACCTCGACCACTTCACCGATGTCGTACAGCTCCAGCTATGGTAATCATCAAAGACCTAATACCCAAAACCCTAGATC